CTACGATATTTATGAGCATCTTGCATGTACTCATATATTTGACGCTGTGTATGTACCGATGTATTTGAGCAGGGTGAATGTATCTATTATTTTGAGGACTTTTGTTGTACCGATATTGTTCGGTATAGTTGCGTTATACTGACGTCATATTAATGCAAATTTAAAGTTGTTGGTTTATACCAAAATAAGGTAGGTCGGCTCACTTTTATTCTCCCGCACAAGCGGGTAGTTTCGGAATCCCCCTCCGCTACGGGTGGCCGCGGGGCCTGCGGGGGGTACGGGTAAGGGAGTGAGTCGACACCAGTTGAGAGAGTTGAGTTTCAGCATCGGAAGTCGTCGGAACTAATATCGGGTTATCTAGCGTATCGGGTCGCTAAGTTTACGGTTCCGCGTTCGGTCTGATCGCGACGCGTCTATAACGCGCTTACGGGAAGCAGTGCATCGGGTGCATTTGAAGTGCAGCATTGCTGGCGCCTTTAGACTGTATGACAGAGACTTATTTGACTCGACTGACACCGACAGAGTGACTAGGCACCTGCAGGCGGTGAACGGGCATCGAGGGGGTAAGTGCCTTATCATACACACGTTGCAATATTACGCCAACCCTCGCAACGCGTAATTCAGGAGGGTTGTGCCGCGGCACCCGAACCGTCGTGTTCGGCACAATTCGATGGTAGCAGAGCGTGGTTAGGTTAACACGTAGGTTATAACCGCGTGGTTATATTCCGGGCATACGTGTCTTTCGGGTACGTGTTGCGTCGCTTGACATAATTTTGTAACGTCGTCGCGCGGAATAAAACGGAATATTATTTTATTATATTACGTAGTACAATTATAGATAGTAGGTTTTTTCACTCGGTTCGTTTATATAAAATTATTTATTGTACGATTGCTACGTAATATTAATTATACGGCGGCGTTTAGGGTTCCGTTCATTGATTGATATAGATTAGATTATTTAATTTAGGGTTTTTTCATAACGGTTTTTTGTAGTATATTTAAATTAGGGTTTTTTTTTGCATAACGATTTCTGTAGGTTATATTAGAATAATAATTTAAGTTAGTCATTTTTCGTTTGGTAGTTTTATGTTACGGTTGATAATTTAACTTGGAGTTTTTTCATTACGGTTGGTTTTTTGTGTGTTTTTTATTTCATTTTTTTTTAAATTTTTATTTCAACGGTTTACTTTTATAGTGTGACTTTGTTTAAAGTCAGGTTTATCTACCCTCGGTTTTTTATTTTTTTTTTCTTTTTACGGCCATATTAGTAAGCGGTTTTCTAGAAGCTTCGATTGTTTTCTACCTTATTTTATACTTTTTTTTTTTTTTTT